ATGGCCTGGATCATGCAGATCCGCCGGTGGTAAGGGGGCAAGCTGCTGCCACCGCCCTTCCCAAACTTCTCGCCGGACTTCACCACGAGGGAGGCAAGGAAGTCCCCCCTTTCCCTGGGGGGTACCTTCTTGCGGTGGGGAGCCGGGGGGCTCTCCCCGGCGCTGCCCGGCTGGCAGCCCTTGGTCTGCTTGGTGCCCATGGTGCGTGGCCCCGGGTCCCGCAGCCCTGGGGCTGCATGCAAGGGGGGAATTTGGGGCTGGAAGCCACGGAGGGGAGGGCACGAGGGGGTGCACAAGGAGATGGAAGGGATGCACAAGGGGTTTGGGGGCGCACAGGAGGGTTGGGGAGGGGGGGGATGCACAAAGGGTCTGGGGGTGCACAGGGGGTTGGAGGGAATGCACAAAAGGATGCACAAGAGGGTGGGGTGGGAGGGATGCAAAGGGGTTCAGGGGGTGCACGAAGGGTCCAGGAGGTGCGGGATGGGGCTCGGTACCCCCCGGGAGCCTAGCAAGGGGGCCGGTACCCGGCGGCGGGGCTGCTCCGCTCCGGCAGCCGGAGGAGAGGGCGGCTGCTCCCGGCGGAGAGGAGCCGAGCCGCGGCCCCGCCGCCCCGCTCCATCCCTGCGGGGAAGCGAGAAGCCAGGATCCGAGGAGCTCCTTCTCCCGGCCCCAGGCGGCGGCGGCGGCGGCAGCGGAGCGATGAAAGCGGCAGTGCTCAGCCCTGCAAAGCGGCGGCGGCTCCGAGCCCCCCCCCGAGCAGCCTTCGCCTCCTCCTCCTCCTCCTCCCGGCGCCGAGGGGGCTCCCCCGGGGAAGGGCGGCCACGACTTAGGGGCAACTGTTGCGCGTCGGGAGCTCGCCGGGGAGGCGGCGCGGCTGGGCTCGGAGCGGCTCGCCCGGCTGTGGGGTGCATGCAACCGGGGAGAGCCGGGGGAGGGCCGGGGGCGGGCACCGTGCACACCGAGGCAGGGCTTGCGGAGGAAGCTGGAGCCGGACGGGGCTCTTCCTTCCTCCGCCGCCTCCTCCTCCTCTCGCCCCACAGCTCCGGGGATTGCACCGAGGGATGGGGAGGGGGGGCTGCATCGTGGAGGGGGGGGAGGATCGTACGGGGGGGACCGCACCGGGGCTGGGCTGCCGGGAGACAGCGTGGGGCACCCCCGCCGGTGGTTCCCGGGGAGGAGCACGGAGGGGTTTCCCGCTGTATTCGCACCCCGGGGGACCTAGAGGGGCTTGGCGGTGCCCGGCCCCCGCAGGGCTGTCCCCTGACCGGGGGGGGGGAGCCCCGCACTCAGCCCCGTCTGTCCCCTCAGCCCATCCCCGGGGCAACGCACCAGGCAGGGACCGCTGCGGGCAGGGGCATCCTGCGGGGCTCCAGGGGCTGCAGGGCCACACCAAGCCACGGCTGCTCCTGCCTCCTCCTCACCTTCATCCCTGGCAGCAGCCACTCTTGTGCCCACCTGGAAGTCACTGCCTATGCCCTGCCATCCCCTGTCCCAGCCAAAGTCCCCCCCCCATCACCCTCATCCAGCGCTGGCAACCACCCCTTGCATATGCTGCTCCTTCCAGCAGCTCCCCATGCAATATTCAATCACTCCTTATCTTCCAGGCAGTCCTCTGGCAGGGCTTAGGGCACGGATTAAAGCTCTTGGATAAAGATCGTGATGAGCAACTCTTCCAGACAGGCAGCGCTCACCTGCTGCAGGAGACAGATTGCTGGAGAAATGCCTGGCAGGAATAAGCTCTGGACTGATGAGGCCCCAGAAGTAGCCTCAGACCCTCTCCCCATGCAAGGGGCTGTTTTCCAACACAGACACACAGCAAACTGCATGCAACCACCTCCACGCCTCTGCTTGACCAGGGCAGGAGAAGACCCAGTGCACCCAGCAACAGGTGAGAACTGTTTGCATCCTGTGCAACTGCACATCCACGAACACACAAATATTATGTTCTGCCAATGAATATAAGGTGACTCCCCTCGATAGCCAAATGGCTGGGGGCCCACGTAGTTGTTTCTAAAACTCCAAAGGCCAACAACTGTAATGTATTTTTATACACGGACCATGAGAACCACGCAGAGCCCCACTGACTTCAGCAGGGTTTACACAGCTATGCTGCACGGGATCCCAAACCAGACCAAGTACTGGTGTCTCCCCCCAGGGTGTATCTTACACTGCTGTCATGAGCCAAAAACTACCTTTCACTGGTTCAGCCATATCACGTTAAGCCACATGAGAAAACACGCAACCACATGGTTTGCAGAAACCACGGATTTGGGTGAACCAGAGGGCTCACCTGGCAGCAAATCTCCCCAGAGATATCAGGGAGAGGCAGCCAATTTGCCAGTGTCAACAGGAGGCAGCAGGAAGCGATGCCTGACACCCCCCACAGCAGCACTTTCCCTGCGGATTCCATCCTACAAACAGCCTCCTCCCTTTAAAAGGATCAGTCCTTTAAAAGGATCAGGCTGCGGGTACTAACTGTGCCAGGAAGACATGGACACATCTTTAGGTCCATCCAGCGGGCCATTTCACATTCGTGGGGAACAACAATCCCCATTCCCTGGGGATGCCAATGGAATGGGAGCTACAACCCCTTCACCATCCCCTGCCCCGTGAAGAGGGGAGCCTGAGCAGAGCCACATCCCGGCCAAGGAGACAGTTTTGCACAGCAACCACGGCCCCGAGTACATAAAGAAAACCCAGCCTTTGCACTTGTGACACTTCTGTCAGCAGGGCAGAGAGTTTATCGGCTGCTCCTCATCAGGCTTATTCATAACACACAGGACAAAGCCAGAAGAAAACAAATAAGAAAGAAAGAAGTATGGTGTGTATTCTTGCTACACCGATGCAAAGCAAACACCAAGCACTGTGCGTTGGATTTATGCTCCCCCTGAGCAGATGCAAAGGCACCAGGACCACTCATGACTGCTCAGGAGTGACTTCCAGGCTCAGCACTGGTGGCTCAATGGTACAAGACATGCAGATCCCTCAGTAACGCTCCATCCCAGAGCATTACTCACTTCTAGACCCTCAAAAGGGTCTCATCCGGCTACAGACCCAACCAGCACCCAGCTTCCACGCACACACACAATTTTCCGTACACCCGTGTACAAACCAAGCCTGTCCAGTGCCAAAAAACTTTACCCCTGCACTTGTGTGCTGGGAACCCGTTCTGCCCTGCAGCCCTGCGCCGGCTGGAGCTCTCTCTGACCGATGACATACTCTGCTAAACTCATTAGCCGATCCGCAGCCAACATGCATTTTTTCCTTAGAGCAGATGCGTGCAAACTGCAAATTAGTAGATGTTTCTCTAAGAGAGCTTGCTTTTTTTTTGTTTTGTTTTACTCAAATTCATACTCCTTATGATATCTAATATTAAGGGTCTGTTAGAATAGTCCATTGCTTTAAAAGGAAATAATTTCAGATCATGAGACCGTGGAAGAAAACCTTTTCTCCTGTCCCACAAAACTCTGATTTAACAACGTTCTTACTCCTACATCAAAAAGAAACTAAAGCTTTCCAATGCATTATGCAGAAGCCAGGGAGCACCCACACCACACGAGTCAACAACCTGGCGTGCAGGGGATCCAACATCAGATGCCTGCAAACAGAGACACTCAGCCTCAAGTTCCCTGACATCCCAGGGGTGGGTATCCAGCACCAAACCGCTTTGCATGCATGTACACTATACATTTGGTTTCAGATTAGTCACACATAAAACTAACTTCCCGCTTCCAGGAAGGACCGACTGGTTTCGGTAGAAGATCACAATCTAGTTACGCTTCTCCATTGCCAGCCCACTTGTGTTGTCATTTGCAATGTTCTTTTTAAGGTGCCACAACTAACCTCTGTATCCACGTACTTACAGGCTTAGATAGGGGAGATTAATTTTGCAGTGTGCCTAAGGTAGAAACCCCCTTTTTGATCTCGGATTTTGAGCAGGACTCCCATCCTAAACTGGAAAATCCACTCTGGACAAGTACGGTCCAACAAGGGGTAATCAGAAGAGGGATATTGCTCAAAATGCTCATAGACCTCAATAAACGGGTATTTTGCAAGATATCCCCACCATCACTTCTGTATTTGAGAGCTCTCGTACCCCACCTGAGATGCTCAGTCACATGAAAACTTGAAGTTTGTAAGTTCTTCACCTGACAGGTCTTGAGGGGAAGTTCCTGGCAGCTCAGCTCTTGGTGTAAACCTCAATTTCTCTAAGACACAGAGACAAAACACCCCCAAATTCAAGGGCAGTTGTTAATTTTGCTTGTCACACCCCCAGTATTTAACCATTTCATCACCCCAAAAACCTCTTCCACAACCTAGATCTTGGCAGGACTGACCAAAGCCACAGCAATCACAAGCACTTGGAACACCAATCATCTCATCTATGTCTGTGCCTTCCCCAAACATTGGAGGAGCTCAATCCAGAGATTGAGTTGGGACCAAGCTCTGCTTCTCATCAAACTCTATTGCTTTGGAGGCAGCAAAGGACTTGCTGATTTTTCTTGATAGGGATGGAATGATTAGGATTAATTTTAAATGTCAGCATCAGGTTCAGGTTAGTGCTCCTCAGTACATGGAAAGGACTAGGCTGACTGTAAGAAATATTACTTTCAAGATGGCATTTAAAGGAATCCCAGAGTTAATGTGATTTTTGTCTCTTAAAAAAAAAAACCACAACAAACCAGCCTTACTGTAAGATACCACCAAAACCAGCAAGAGGAGAGCAATCAGTCTCAACAGACAATCTCTGGGGAGGAAGGCCAAATTGAAAAATATAATTTTAAAAGAACAAAAGGCTATCCATATCCTAAGCTTGATTCGATTCAGGTTTGACAAGGCACGGCAGTGAGACAGGGTCGAAGCGCCTCATGAAATGCTGCAAGATGTAATTGTAGATGAACTAAAGTCCAGGATAAATGGGACAATATAATGATGAGAAACTACATGTACTGAGAGATGTTTTTAAGGAGAAATTAAAGAATCTCACATAGAAGCACTGATGTTTCCTCCAGGCAATGGATGACATCTTCCTGTATTCACCTTTGAATTAATTCTTCACATTTGGCCTAAGCTAGAAAAGCCAAGTGAAAAGGATTAAAAAAAATAAATAAATCCCTGTCTTCATTCCCCAAAGCAAGTAAGAACACAAGCTGAGTAGCCAGAGAAATATAAGTGCAAAACAGAGAGAAGTGCCTTCCTCCTCCTCCTCCTCTTTCTTGCAGCGTGAAATCTGTCCCAATGCTCTGGTGTCTGTTTTCAGCGTAACCCACAGGAGATGGTTAGAGGAGGGCCAGAGACAAGGAAAGGAGTCGTGTGATCAAGGATGGGTACCAGGGTGAAAGAAGTACCACAGGCAAGAGCACAGAACTGCCAAAGTCCCCAAACTATCCACTATCCCCTTTCCAATGTGGAAAGCTTTCTTCTTCTTTATTAATTTACTACACCTTATTGTTTTTATTACACAAGAATAACTGTACCAGCATTTTTAAAGGAAAAGAACTCACATTTAAATCAAACCCTAACCCCCTTCCAAGCAGTTCTGCTGCGGCAGAAGGAAATTGGGATTTTTCGTGCAACACCTTTGGCCAAACAATTTCACCTCCAGATGCCCCACTCTCTTCACAAAGCTGGGCTTGCTGGCAAAATGCAGCATTGCCCCAATATCCCACCAACAGCTGCTGCCTCCCATCCAGCACCCTGGGGAGGAATGAGAGAAGTTCTCTCCGGTGCTCACTCACAAGGCTTTCAACATGAAAAATAAAATTAAAAAACTTGCCAAGGCTACACTCATCTCCCAGAGAGTGGGGTGGGGTTGTGGGGGTTTTTGTTGGTTTAGGTCTTGCAGTGGTTTCGGGTGTTTGGGGGTTTTTTTGCCAATGATGCGTGTTTAATCATTTAGCCCAATCAGAAGAGCAGAAAAACATCTGCTGGGTGCCAGAAGCATTTCCTCAATAAAAAG